CCTGGGATGACGAGGAGAGCTTTCCAAGCCAAACCATTCCAGGATTCTGGAGGCTGAGGATTCCAGACCTCCCTGAGCAGGCACTTCCAGCAGGAGGAGGAGGAGGATGTTTGGGTTTGTTGTGTCTTTGGGATAAACTCCAGGGAAGGGAGGAACGCTCTGTTCCACAGGAAGGAGAGGTGGAACCCCAAGGGAGCTCCCAGACTAAACCATCCCGAGGAACTGCACTCTCCTTTTTGCATTTGGAAGTCGATCCTTGCTGGCACAGGCGCAGCTCTGCCATTATCCCTGGGAAGCTGTGCCCAGCTGTTTACTGGAAAACCAGCGAAGGAGAGAGGAGAGAGCACTTCCCAGTGCATTATCTGCATTGATTGCACACGCTCCCGGGGCAGCCAGGGCCCCTCTCCCTTTGGGGCTCACCTCCCCTCCCCCAGCTGGAAAGATAAATAAATAAAGATAAATAAATAAATATAAATAAATAAAGATAAATAAATAAAGATAAATAAAGATAAAAATAAATAAACCAGGGAAAGCATTCTGTTGTGATTTCCCCCCACACACACAACCCTGATTTATCCCAAATCCCCCCCGTTTCCATCGCTCTCCCCGGTGCACTCGGATGCATTCCAGCACATAATGGGCTGGGATGGATTTTTGAGGAATCCACGGTGCTCTGCCGGCTCTGGAGGTCATTTTGGGCAGCCCATCGATGCTCAGCACAAATATTTCTGCTCTGTGCACGCCACCCCGGGCTCTGCCCCGGCCAGATGTGCGTGCCGCAAACCCAGAGCCCTGCCCTGCTTTTCTCCAGGCTTGCTGTGAAAAACACCACAAGAGATCTGGGAAGGGTTTTGTGGCTCTCGTCAGGGCTGGGGCAGTTCCTCCAGAGCTGGCTGGAGGCTTTACAAACCCAGCCACACATTAAAGCACCCCCGTTAATCTCCTGTACAACCCCAGCCAGGCAGAGCTTCAAACATGCTTCGTTTTGGAGAGAAATCGAATGTTACCTTTGGGAAATACGCTTATTATTAGCATTAGACACGGCTTTTGGGCTCCTTCCAGGAACTTTGCTGAGTTACGGGCGGTTTGTTCCCGCTTTTCTTTGTGTCCTGGATTTATGGGCAGACAGGGCTGAGCCGTGCTGCTGCCATCCCAGGGCTGTGCAAACACGGATCCTTGTCCTGATTCCTCCCCACTTTGGGGGGCCAGCGAGGAGCAGATCCCCTCTGCTGAGGAAAAACCACAGCAGCTCCTGTTAGAGGTTACAGCCTAAGTTCTGATGTTATATTTATATCATAGTCTAAGGCTTTTTACTTATTTATGTTATGATATATAAATATANCTGGGGACACTGAGGGACACCAGGGACAGGGTGAGGGACACCTGGACAGGGTCTGGGGACACCTGGAGACCTTGGGAAGGGGGTTTTGGGGCTCTAAGGGACACCAGGACCAGGGCTGGGGACACCTGGGGACTTTCGGAATGGGGTTTTGGGGCTCTAAGGGACACCTGGACAGGGTTTGGGGACACCTGGGGACCTTGGGAATGGGGGTGAGGGGGTCTAAGGGACACCTGGACAGGGTTTGGGGACACCAGGGAATGTTGGGGACAGGGTTGGGGACACCCAGAGACGCCAGGACCAGGACTGTGGACACGTGGGGTCATCAGGACCAGGGCAGGGGACACTGAGGGATGCCAGGGACAGGGTGAGGGACACCTGGACCAGGGCTGGGGACACTGAGGGACACCAGGACCAGGGCTGGGGGCACCTGGGGACCTTGGGAAGGGGGTTGAGGGGGTCTAAGGGACACCTGGACAGGGTCTGGGGACACCTGGGAATGTTGGGGACAGGGTTGGGGACACCCAGAGACACCAGGACTGTGGACACGTGGGGTCATCAGGACCAGGGCTGGGGACACTGAGGGATGCCAGGGACAGGGTGAGGGACACCAGGACCAGGGCAGGGGACTTTGGGAATGGGGTTTTGGGGCTCTAAGGGACACCTGGACAGGGTCTGGGGACACCTGGGGACCTTGGGAATGGGGTTTTGGGGCTCTAAGGGACACCTGGACAGGGTCTGGGGACACCTGGGGACTCAGGAGCAGATCTGGGGACAGCTCTGAGGTGCCCTCCAAGCCTGGCCATTCCAGGATTTTGGGAGCTGCTGGTCTGCACTGGGACGAGGTGTGGCCAGCCCAGGGGAGGTGACGGCGTTTCCTGCCCCAGCATCCTCCCCACCTTCGCTTCACTCACCCAAAATTCACCTTTTGGGAGTTCTTTGCCTGGAAAAACTGCCCCTTTCGGGTGGGCCTGCTTGCTTTTCTCCAGGTCTTTATTTGCATTATTCTATTCTGGTTTTTTTCTGAAATGAAAACTGGAATAGTTCTGTCTCTGAGAAGAAATGGTCATTCCTGAGATATTCATCTCCAGTTGGAAAAGCATTTCCTTTGGCCAAGTTAAATCCCCCTTTTTTTGTCAACAAAATTCCATTTCCATGAATCACGATTGGGATTATTTTTTTTTTTTTTTGGTCATTAGCACCCATTTTCATAATTTGTGGACGCAGCACGAGAAGAAAGAGTAAAAAGCAACCACAGCAGGTCCTGGGCAGCTGAGAAATTCAAAGCCAGGCAAAACTTAAAACATCAGATCCTGCAGAAGCTTCAAATTGGCCAAAAAACTATTCAAACATGAGGAGAAAAACTCCAGAAAGCTGCATTTATTTCCAAGATATCATCACAGAGGTGAGGGAAGCTTTTAATTGCACTCTCCAGACTTCCAGCACCAACAGACCCAGGCTTTCACTGGGAGGAACTCTCTCATTCCAATTAAAAGTGATTTTTTAAGGCCCCACTGCTCAAGTCAGAAGTTGTTTCCACAGATAGTAAATGATTCTTAATAAGCAAAGCCTGTGGCAATAAAACAAAGAAATAAAAATAAATCACGTTTTCCAGAACTTGGAGAGCGAGTCCTTGGGATGCTCCCCCATCCCTCCACTCACACAGTGCACATAAAATGCTGATATTTTCACATAATCTGAATTTATCATCATTTTTCCAAGGGAATGATCTAGAAAAAGGCCTGTTCCAATTTGAGTCTCTTTCCTGTCCTATAATTCCCATTATGGACCACACAAGGAATTCTTAAAGAGTAGATTTTGCTCCAAATTTCCTTTTTTTTTTTTTTTGCCTAAAAAGCGGGATAACCTCAGGATAAAGATGGGCTCAGCTAGGAGAAAAATCTTCATTTTCCACCCAATCCCTCCTCTTCCAGCATCCCCTGAGTCATGGGAATGCTGCAAATAAAGCTGAGCTCCAGCAGCAAGCAGAGCTCATTTCAGATGGCTCATGTGAAAACAACCCAGCTAATTATGCTGCAGTAATTACCTGAAAATTATATGTATGTTGTTTTTCCACCAGTCAATAGTGCTATTTTTGAGCTTCTCATTGTTCTCATGGCCTGCTGGAGTCACATTGTCTCGAAATCCTCTTTTTTTGGCTCATCACTCACTCACCTCTGGACTGGGGAGGGATTTTCAGGGCAAGTTTCACCTGCAGCATTTGCTCTGCCGCTCAGATCCTCACCTGTGCTGCATTTCAGAAAATATTTCCATTTTAATCATCTTTTAATAAGAATTACGAGAGTCTGACTCAACATCCCATCAAGATTTCCTCCTGAAAAAAAATCAAAAATCCTGAAAATTCCTGGATTCCTGATTGGGATCATCCTGATTTGGAAAAGTTTCATTGCCTTCAGCTCAGATCCTCACCTGTGCTGCATTTCAGAAAATATTTCCATTTTAATCATCTTTTAAGTAAGAATTATGAGAGTCTGACTCAACATCCCGTCAAGATTTCCTCCTGAAAAAAAATCAAAAATCCTGAAAATTGATGGATTCCTGGCTGTGATGATTGTGATTTGGACAAATTT